GACGGAGAGAGAGCCAGCAGGGAAGGGGCAGAGAGAAGGGGAGATACAGTATCTGAAGCAGGCTCCAGGCTCTGAGCTGTCAGCAGAGAGCCCGCCGCAGGGCTCGAACCCAGGATCAGTGAGATCATGACCTGAGCCAAAGTCGGATGCTCAACCTACTGAGCCACTCAGGCGCCCCACCGTTAAGTTTGTACTTTGAATTTTTATAATTTTTCTGTTTAAAAGTTTTATTTGGTTCTTTTAAAAAAAACCTGCTTTGGCTTTAGCATTTCACCTTTGCTCTTATAATCAAGCCATCATTATTTGGGGGCACATACTATGCATTTGTTTCATATCAGGCCTGAAATAATTCTGATATTAAATACCTCGAGAGTCTAATTCTACTGTCTGTGCTTCTGTGGCTTTTATTCATAGTGCTTTGTTTTCCCGTGGCTTCAGGTGTGTGTATGAGTTTTGATTGTGAACTCAGATCTCTTGGAGTTTTATTTGCGGGAAGTTTTTGTCGGGTGGATTAACCTTATCTTCCAGGGTGAACTTGCCATTCTGCTGGTTGTAGGGCGAAGAGGGCACTGTCAACCCAGGGTCTCTCGGAATGACATTTTCTGCCCAAGTGGCTTTGGTTTAGGATCGTACAGCTTGCGTGAATTTGGCTTACCGTCTTTCATCTGTCACCTTGGGGCCATGAGTGTCTGGAATATGCCCTCCACTCTCAGTGCCAAGGACATGCCAGGCACGTTTCCTTGCTGTCTCCTCCTGTGGTACATGATGATTTCTTGTCCCCCCTGACATGAAGATCCAGCCCTTTTGGGATCTCAGTGTCCTGTTCCTGTCCCCTGTTGGCCTTCCTGCCCTCCGAAGTTTTAGGATTCCCTGCCCTCCATTTCATTCAGCTGTCAGAGAATGTAAAGGTCGCTCGTGTTGACAAATACCCTCAGCGCGAGATCTCTCGTTGGCACTGGCTTCTCCTCCAGAGTCTCCCTCTTCCCCCGCCCCCCGCCGCTGTCATTTTGGTTTTTTGTGTTCTGCAGCTTCCTTATTTTCTCAGCAGCTCACTAAATTCTTATTTTTTTAATATTAAAATGTATCCACCTTTTGGTGGTTTTCTTCTGAAGGTCATGGATATCTAATTGCTTCTTTAGGACGAATTTTTGTACCAATAGGTGCTGCGTCTAAAATAACCTTTTGGGTAAGTTACTAAAATGGAGATGGAAACTCTGAAAAGAATGTCTTCTTCCTGTGTGTGTCACATACTCCTACAAAACGGATGGATCCTGATACCTTTACCTACGAAGGTGCTAGCGCAAGAATTCTTACCTGAGCATGCCGCCATTTCTTCCTTTTGTCCTGGTGGAGCATCACTGGTTTAGTAAGCCACTGTTAATTGCAGTAGGGTCCTGTTTCTTCAAGTGTAGGGATGGAGAATTGTTCAGAGCCATTGCTATTGGATATTGACTCATTCTCGGTTCCATTTAAACCCTGGGGTGCTTGGTGACCGCTATTTGACACGCTAGGGTTTGCCAACTTCCAACAAAATCTTCAAGGGAACTCTTCCCAAGATACTAAAAATTATGCAGCAAACTTTGGCTTGGTGGCTATTTTCCCCCAGCTCTGTATCCAACTCTAGTGTTGAAAACCAGGCATCAGAAACTGAGTTGCTTAGTCTATTCTTTGCCTCTGGAGTTAGGCTGCAGCTAGAAGTAGTGTTGTATGGACTCTGTTTCTGCAGAGGAAATCTTGAATTCATGCCATAAGAACACCCCCCGCACATTCACAGAATTTGCTACACAGCGTCATGATCCTAGTAAGGATATGTTACTCTGCTGGACTTGACTTTAGAACTGTCATAAAGTAAATTCCATTCTCTCTTCGTACTTGCATTTGGATCTGACACCCTGACTCCATCTGTCACTGTAGTCTCTCCCTGTTGTGCGTCACTTGGCATTTATTGGTTGGCTTGGACTTCCTAGAGTTTTGTGTTGATCTAGTAAATGTCCTTAGAAGGCTTGATAAAAGTGATTGGCAGTGTTAGAATGTTGAGTTCCAAGAGACTTTAGAAATTACCTCATCTTTTAATTTTCAAAACCTATGTAGCCGTGAAAACCTTAGTTTGGTTAATGGATCACTTGGAAACCCAACAGATAGAGGAGTTGGAGTTTTTAAAAATCAGTGAGGAGACCGACTCCTTTATTTTGCAAATGAAGCGTCTGAACCCAAAAAGGTTAAACGACTATGGTTTATGGCTGTTTCCACCTTCGTGCACTTAGCATCTTTCTCCCAGACCTCTGATTGGATTGCAGTTTTGCTTTATTTTATTGTTAGGCTTTTGGAGAGTACAGTGTGGGATTGACCAAAGTGAGGAGATCTTTTTTTTAAATGATAGCAATCTCCTTTTTTCTTCTGCCTTGTTTCCTTCCTTCTCTTGTTACTTCTTAGCTGTTGCTTGGGGCAGCTATTTATGAACATCACTGGCTGATGAGAGTAGCTTTTCTCTCTCCCTTGGATTTGAAGGGAAGGGGGAGAAGGGAGCCAACATTTATGGGACGCCTGCTCCTATAGCAGGGCCTGCGGATGTTGTTACAAAGGTTTTAAACTCTGAATTTGTTAGCCACCCTATAAAGTAGTTGGTGACATTTTCCTTTTACGGTTAGGAAACCGAGGCACAAAGAGGCTAGTAATTTGATTCGTAGTCAAACTGCCTTGAGGATGTGGACGGGGAGAGAGATTTCTGAGCAGTGCATGGTACGTGATGTGTAGGGGTGAGTGGATCATCTGGAGTGGTGAGAATGCGTGGTATGTGGTGCAAACGGTGGTGCCCTGGAGAGAGAATGTTCTCGCCATACTCTGTTCCTCCTAAGGCCGGAAATGCTTTCCCTAGTTGTACTGGCATTTTACTGTCCCACATACATAGACGTGATGAGGTCGTATTTTGGATAATAGAAACTTTCTTCTTTTTTGTGGAGAAGGGGTCATGCTTAGTTGAATAAACGAACACTGGTTTGAATTCTTCTAGTAGGTGGTAAACACCTGGGTTATCGGTAGCTTTCAGCACGGGATGGGGAGCGGGGCTTGCGGCATTCCTACCAGGACACGTTGGTTCAGCGGATCTTGAAGTTGCTGTAATAATTGAATTTGCTGTTCTAAGACAGTGCCCAGCCCCATTAGAAGTAAACGGTGTTTATAAACTAGCGATTATGTCAAAGTTTTGTATAAAGCCTAAAATAAGTCCTAAATTAAAAAAATAACAGGGGCGCCTGGGTGGCTCAGTCAGTTAAGCGGCCGACTTCGGCCCCTGGTCATGATCTCACGGTTCGTGGGTTCGAGCCCCGTGTCGGGTTCTGTGCTGACAGTTCAGAGCCCAGAGCCTGTCTTCGGATTCTGTGTCTCCCTCTCTCTCTGACCCTCCCCAGCCCGTGCTCTGTCTCTCTCTGTCTCAAAAATAAATGAACGTTAAAAAAAATTTTTTTTAATTAAATTGGGGCACCTGGGTGGCTCAGTTGGTTCAGCGTCCGACTTCAGCTCAGGTCATGATCTCACGGTTCATGGGTTCGAGCCCCGCGTCGGGCTCTGTGCTGACAGCTCAGAGCCTGGAGCCTGTTTCAGGTTCTGTGTCTCCTTCTCTCTCTGACCCTCCCCTGCTTATGCTGTCTCTCTCTCTCAGAAGTAAATAAAACATTAAAAAAAAAGATTAAAAAAATTATAAAGGCAGCGTCGTGTTTACGGACAAGCCCTGGATGGCTGGAGGCTCTTAGAGGAAATGTCCTGTTGTAGAATTAGAATTTGACCACCGATCCACCCTGTCCCTTTAATCAGTGCTTCCAATCAGGAAGCTGAGGATGTGTCGTCCAACAGAGCGTGGCCTTCCCAAGTCCAGGAGTGGAGCTCACTCAGGAAATGGCAGGGGTGGGCTTTCAGAAGGGGTGTTAATGTCACATCAGAGCCCGGGAGGCAGCCCCACATGTGAGTGTCCTACACGTAGCTCTGCGAAGGGTGCGGGGTGCTTGGTGAGGGGGGGCGGGTCAGTTTGCTCTGGTGCTGTTTCCTTGGGAATTTACAGGTCGACATATCTAGACGTATCAAGTGTTTCACCCCTTTCCAGCTGCGCGAGGAGTCCATTTAGTGGTCTGTGCCGGTGCACACAGCTCTCCTGGCCCCCCTCCACCCGCCCTCCACCTCCACTCTTTTTCAGGGACAGAGTCGAGTGGGTCATACTCCTGAGACCGTGACACGTGATTGTTGTCTGGGCAAGGCCCTTCTTTTGTTGGGTTTTGTTTTGTTCTTTGTTTTTCCTTTTTTATCCCTCACCCCCAGTTGCAGGTCCCAGCGCTCTTTCGGCTCCCACTCAAGGTCAAGGTCAAGGTCCACCCTTTGGCCTGCTGGCCGCATGCTGTTCTTTATAATGTGTTGGGCTCAGTTTTTCTTTCTTGATATTTAGCATGATGTTTTTGAGAACTAGTCATGCTTTTGTATGTAAATGTAGTCCCGTTATTCTGACTCTGCCACAGAGTGTGCGGTCACACTTTATAGACTGGGTGGTTGTCAGCCGTGGGGCCGTCCATGCTGCCCCACACAGTGTTCTTGTCACTAGGGGTTCCGTGGGGGGATTCTTCAGATTGAACTTCCAAAGAACTGTTCGGTCACTGAATATATGCGTATTTGTTTCAGCTCCCTGAGATAGCTGTCGGATTATACATGTTAGAGTACCTGATGCAGCAAGGGCTTTAATCCACTACCTAGAAAAGAAAGTAACAATTTACAGGTACAGTTTCTTGAGCCCTGCTTTTGTTTCCCGGGAAAAGTTCTCGCAGAGTAGTTTTTAGTCCTATCATTAAAATCCTTCACTCTTCAGGGTCGTCCTTTATTTTCTTTCCGTAATGTTAGGTAGTTAAAGGAAACATAGTTTTTTAAGGGATCTCTCTGTAATGTGTGTGTAACTGTGAAAATGTTATGAAAATACTACAAATACTAAGATTGCTGTTTTGTTTTGTTTTTTAATCTTCTAGGGCGCCAATGCCTCGGCATTAGAGAAAGAGATTGGTCCAGAACAGTTTCCAGTCAATGAGCACTATTTTGGATTAGTCAATGTAAGTATCTGTTGGTACTGAGCCTTCACAATTATGGTTGGAAATAGTTTTCAAAATGATGAATGCATTTCATAATGTATTAAAGGAAAATGGTTTATTTGCATCAGTAGGCGTAATGCCAAGAAAATTGATTTGGAATTTTAAAATGCTCTTTTTTTTTTTAATGTTTATTTATTTCTGAGAGAGAGAGAGGGAGAGAGAGAGCGAGCAAGCGAGCAAGCATGAGCAGGGGAGGGTCAGAGAGAGGGAGACAGAGAATCCGAAGCAGGCTCCAGGCTCTGAGCTGTCAGCACAGAGCCCTACACGGGGCTTGAACCCACGAGCTGTGAGATTGTGACCTGAGCTGAAGTCCCCCAGGCGCCCCTAAAATACTCTTTTTAATGGAAAGGAAACAAAATGGCCTGAAATCTTATGAGTCTTAGATCAGAATTAGCCTGCTTTTTCCTGTTTTGTGTCAGATTTTTTCATAACCAAAATTTCGTGTCACCTATACTAAATGATCTCTTGATTCTCTGAGAATTACTTGAATATCTAAATAGAAGTGGTCCGAATGTGCAGGTGTAACAAGTCAAGTTTTGCAAGTGCCTCATGTGTCTGTAGACTTCTGGCAACTTCTCTGGCAGCACTTCTCTGGGACAGACACAAAAGTGCAACATACAGGAAAAAGATACATCCCCAGTCCTTGTGAAGAAAATTCTAGTAATTATACATCATTAAAATTTGGGGAGAACTTTCTTTGGAATTTTGAACTGTTTCCGGACTCCTCAACAAATGCCACAGATCTGTTCTCCAGTTGTGGTAATTTATGCTCTACTGTTCCCTAGGATCTGTGGGGAAGTTTTTGTCTGTATACATAACAGGTGACAATGAGGGTGACAAAGTAAGTTCCATCGAACACACGTGTGTCACTCACTGAGCACAAGTACATAATGGTGACGTCTGAGGTAGATTTCTTGTGTGATTTGAGGAAAGCAGATAAAGTAATGTGGGTGTTTCCTCTCCAGCTGGGAGTCCCCTGGAGAGTGTAAAGCTTGTAACAGAAGGAATTTCCACCCCACCCTCTGGCCCTGCTCATTCATCTGCTGGCTGTTTTTCCTGGAATCTACCCCTGCATTCTAAATAAAGCGCTATACTGCTATTAAAAACAATCTGTTGACTTCTCTTCCCTTACCCTGGACATTCCTTCACATCTCTTCTTCCTTGGGTTTTCTCCCCTGCTTTGTGGAGCATGGTCTATGGTAGCTTCTCTCGGGAGTGTGCGTGGGAGGTTAAACTTTGAGATCTTGTGTATTTAAAAACGTTTCGGTTCTTGCTAAAGGTAGATACAGAGCCTAGGTTATAACCTTCTTTCAGGGTTTGTATTACTCGATGGCTTCCTGGCTTCTGTTGATGTCAAGAGGGCTGATGCCGTCCTGATTCTTCACCTCTTCTGAGTGTGGCTTTCCACCCGTCCAGTGTCTTAGGAGGCTTTCAGAAGGTGGATGGATGTCCACAGTGTTCTCAAATTTCATGATGTCTTTGTGTCTCCGCCCACCCCCCCCGCCTTTGTTGCCGTGGCTGTATACCAGCTCATGCAGACGTTATTCCTTTTCCTCAGTTCTAGAACATTTCTGATACTAGCATTTGGATAATATCCTTCCTATCAGTGCTGTCTCTTTGTTCTGCCTTTTTTGATATACCCTTAGTTGCATATTGAAATGCGGACCGGTTCTTTGTTTTTCCTGCTTTTTCTCCCATTTCTGATCATCTTTTTATTTTACATTTTGGATCATTACTTGCCCCTTTTTCATTTGGTTCGTTGCACTTTTTATTTCTTAGAGTGTCATCTTTATTTTTTGACCTTGTTTCAAGTAGGCATGATTCTCTGTGATTTTTCTCAGGTTACTATTTATAGTTTTTATTGTTGAGGTTTTTTTCTTATGCTTGCTGGGTTATTTCTGAGACCCCACCCCCACCCGCCATTTTAAACTCTCCCTCCTAATGGAAGCTCTCCTCCAATGTCATTTGTACATAAAAATGAAATTCTGAAAAGCTGACTGGGGCTTTGTGTATTAAGGGTGGGGCTCGTCTGCCGTGGGCTTGTCTCTGAGGTGACTGCCCCCCCAGCTTCAGTGGCTAGAGCCTTTTCTCCGGGGCTGTTCACTTGGTGCTGAAGGGCTTCCTCAGTCTGTGTCTAGGGGTGGCTTCCTTCGGGGTCTTACTGAATCCTCTGGCTTCTGTTGGGTGCCCCATGCTGTCCTCTGCTGTCCTTAAGGGCTCTTGAACCAGTCTCTCCTGTCCAGCATATGTGGAGAATAAAACCTGAAGTTGAAAGAAAGGTGAAGTGCATGGGGGTCTAAATGGTCCTTTTAAAAGGCTTATAACCAGGGGCGCCTGGGTGCCTCAGTCGGTTAAGCGTCTAACTCTTTATTTTAGCGCAGGCCATGATCTCCGTTTGTGGGATCGAACCCTGTATCAGGCTCTGCGCTGAGCGTGGAGCTTGCTCCGGACTCTCTGTCTCCCTTTCTCTGCCCCTCCCCTGATCGCTCTCCCTCTTTCTTTCTCTCAAAATAAATTAAAAAAGTAAGCATTAAAAAGAAATAAAAGGCTTATAACCAGATCTGTTTTCTCCTACCTTCACTCTACTTTTTTTTTTTGACTTTCGATTTTTTTTTCCTAATTTAGACTTTTACTGTCATTTTATTGGAGTTTGGGAGGGTTAATTGAATACATGTAATTTCCTTTGCTTAATAAGAAAGTCTGGCCTCTTCTGCTATGTAAAGTGTTCATGCTTTCATACAGAGTTGTCTAGTGATCAGAAACCTCATTTAACTTCTGGGAGTGGCCAGACCCCAGTTTCTTCCATCTCATCATGACTTCCCTGTGACCACCACCCGCCCGTACTTGGCTCACACTCTCAAGCTAATGTGTGTATTGAATTGTTGTAAAGGTGTATTCATGGATAGTGTAGAAGAACCCATTTTCTCTAGCACAGGGGTATTTTATATATGGAGGGTTCTTTTACTTCTAACCTTCTCCGGTATAAATATTTCTATCTCTCCATTTTGTGTCTGACTGTAACTTTTTTTTGCAGATAGCCTCAGAACAAGCAAAACAATATCCTAGATAAAAATCTTACTATAAAGTGAGTTCTGAAGGTCTGTTTTCCCCTGCTGTGATGTTGTTTTTACGTGGACATACCACTCTCTGAATACCAGCGTCAATTGTGTTTAAAAAAAAAAAAAAAAGGATTTCTAGGAAGGTTTTATTTGTATTTCCCCCCGCGGATCAACCTAAAGTAAAAGGGTGGTATTGGCGCTTCTCCCTGACAGACTAACTGAGATTCAGGAAAACCCAAGAGAAACAGGAGGGAGGGAAGTTAGTGCAAGAACTTGGGGGAGGCTCGTTTGCTGGGTGGAAATGTAGTTTCTGCTCTCCGTGCCTAGTTATTACGCTGAAGCACTGAGCTCCCCAAGGTGGCCACGGCCCCACCACGAAGATTGATGAACACCTTGAATTATATGCGCCAGTGACTGATGGTCAGTGTACAAGCAGGAGAACCAGTATAGTGATTAACTTTTTCCGTGATGTAGACTTACAGGCTTCCGTGCAGCTGTGTTCTGTGGTGTTCGCCTTTTTCTGTAAGTTCTGTTTTTTTAAAAAAATAGAGTTTGTTTATTTTTGAGAGAGAGGGAGAGAGACAGCGTGAGCGGGGGAGGGGCAGAGAGACAGACAGACAGAATCCGAAGCAGGTTGTTGCAGGCTCTGCGCTGTCAGCACAGAGCCCGACGCGGGGCTTGAACCCACGAACTGTGAGATCATGACCTGAGCCGAAGTTGGACGCTTAACTGACTGAGCCACCCAGGCGCCCCTGTATTTTAACCTCATAAAATATCACTCTTCTTGTTTCCTTCCCCCCCTTTTTAAAAAAATGTATAGAGTTATCACACTATTTATAGGAGTCCCTTAAAAAATAAGGGTGGAGCTTGGGGGAATTAGGGAGAGTAGCTTAGTTAATTCAGAGATCAACATTTTAACTCCCCCCACCCCCCACCTCTGCCTGCCAGGTAGTTCCTGTTGAAAACAACACTGGAACATAGCTGGTTTAAGAAACTCTGTGATTTATCTTTTTCTAACATTTGGATTTTGTTAAAATGAGGCACACGTATTTTTTTTTAATCAATCTATTCTTAGCTAAGTGTGAATTTCCAAGGTTCATTTTTTAAAAATGTTTATTTTGAGAGCGAGAGAAAGAGTGCGCGTCTGTGCACGTACACACACACACACACACACACACACACACACACACACGAGCAGGGGAGGGGCAGAGAGAGAAGGAAAGAAAGAATCCCAATCTGCCAGCACAGAGCCTGATGCGGGGCTCCATCTCACTAACCGTGAGATGGTGACCTGAGCCACAACCAAGAGTCGGGTGCCTAACTAACGGAGCCACTTAGGCACCCCTCCACCGTTCATTTTAATTGCTTGCCTTTGAGAAATAGTACATGGATTTGGACAGTTAGAAAGTCAGGGTTTTTTAAAAAAAAATATTTTTAAATGTAAGCTTCATGCCCAATGCGGAGCCCAGCACAGGGCCTGAACTCACTACCCTAAATGATCAAGACCCGGGCTGGGATCAGGAGCCAGACAGGTAACCAACTGAGCCACCCAGGTGCCCCCAGACTTTTTTTTTTAATGGAGAAGAAAAATAACCACAGCCTGACTAACAGAAAATTCAGCGTAGTGGTTCATCCCAACATTGTTAATGACCATGTATTTTCCATTATTTTCAGTTGCAGATATTTTTATCTTGGAAGGATATTTTCACAAACGATGACTTTTATGGCAGTTTACTCTCAACAGTTCTGATGTCTGTCACTATAGTTTGCATAATACATAGAGTGGGGGTTTCCTGTTGGTTTTAACTCTTGTGAACGCGTTGATGTTTTTGATGTTATTGGAAGTCACAGGAGAAATACTGGTGTGTTGTGGGGGGTTGAGAAACGGTCCGGTGTAGGCAA